TTTTGAGACAGTTTCGTGTTGGCTGTCACGTGCGCGTGAGTGACAGTTCAATCGTTTTATTTATTACATTATTGTTGTTCCGTTTGGTTTTTCTTGTTTTGTTTTAATACTGCCTAACGCGTAGGTACGTCTATAGTGCTCGTGAATACGGCAACATGTTAATGTTCTTGGAGAATCTCATAAGATTTAGATCGTTAAGCTGTTTCATACCTAATTTTGTTTAAATAACTTAGTACTGAACTGAATTTGAATAGGTACATATTGAATACATCAGAATAATAAACATATACCTACTTTTTTCTTAGTAAATATTAGAAAAGCATTGGTAGTGAGACACAAAAAATAACAACCCGCAACTCTTGAGTAATGATTTTAAAGGGGATATCATACAAGCCTTACTACGATAATAATTAAAAATTAACAATTTTGTACAACCGACTTTAATATAAATAATTAAGGATAACTCAAAAACTATTGGTCTGACCTCGATCAAATTTATATGGGACCACATGTGAAACACCAGCTCTTAATAATAAGATATAAGCTCTTAATAATAAGATATAGAATAATAAGACAAGAATAATCGAAATTTAAGTAATCGATGCAAATATTGTTAAAGATGACGTAGCAACTGGTTAAATAAGTCTTTTCTTTTATGTTGAATTTGTATAAGTCTTTTCTACTAAAAAAATGTCATCTGTGATCAACAGTTACGTCTAAAATTCTTACGATATTTTCTAAAATATTGATATTTTTGAATATTAAAAAAATTTAGTAGATGCGCCTTTTTATCGTGAGTCGAATGGTATATTTAAGTCATTTATTCAAAAATTGTTAGATGCGCCCTTTTTTCTTATGACGGCAGCCTTGTTTCGCACCGAGCTAGATACTGGTCGACAGTGGAGGGAGTGTGGGTACAGTCGCGTTCTAAAGTACTACATGGAATTGGGCTATTGTTTTATAATATTATAGTAATTAATTGTTTTATTGTAGAATCATAATAGGTGTTTTACTAGCTACTTAAAACTTTGGAAGGGGTTGGAATTAAAAATGGATAATGTTTACTTGAGCATTATTTGTTATTTCTATCGTAAAATATAAAGTAGTTTGTAACAAAAAAACTTAAGCCAAGGGTGACACGCCGTCCACTATGTCGTCTTGGGTCACATGGAAGCCTGATGTTGATGATGTGTTGGTGTTACTGGATGCTACTTCATCATCACTTTCATCTTCGCTTGAGCTTCCGTCATCAAATCGATCACATGGTAATTTTTTCGGTATTCTTCCTCAACACTTTTAACTTTACTGCACAATGTTCCCCATTCACCTTCTCCTATCATATTTACCTTTTCATTCACTAGTTCAGTCATAAAACAATAGATATAAATAATTTTTCTTTCCTTCCTTTTTAAAACCATCGTCGCGAGTCGCAAAGTAAGCTGTGTATGCGACTGTATTTTGGGAGCGAACAAAGCGCGGGAACCAATAGCGTGCGGCCATAGTAATACTGGCGGATTGTTCCCCCGTCGCGTCCCTTTCGTACCACTCACTCATAAATCGCTCAATGCCCAGGTTCAAGGCCAGCGTTCTTTTTCCAGCGTTTGCGCGTACATTGACCTTTAATCAGTTGATATGAATCCAGTAATTCCACTGCTGGTTTTATGTTTCAGTATTTTCATGATTTTTTTTATGAAATTATCGTTTCATTTAACTGTACTAACATGATGGTGCGTGAATAAAGCTAATAAAACGTTGTAAAAAGATGATTTTATTTTTCACCAGGATCGAATTTATTTGTGACCCATGATCAAAGGTATACTTGGTACTGTCGTCTGTCTTAGTTTTCGGGAGCGTTCCATATATATATATATATATATATATATATATATATGTATATAGTAGTGGTGGTGTAAGAATAGAATATCTACTACCCCATATTTTGCCGACAAACTGGCTAACAGTTTGGCAAAATTTAAAATGTAAATAATGTAACACTCTTTCTAAGAATAAATAAAAAAAAATAATATCGTCCTGTCAGTGTCGTAAAAGGCGACAGAGAAAAACTGAAATAGGAGATGGGCAGCAGCGTCTTCCTCTTAACTCAAATAATAAAAAAACTGCAGTTGTCAACCTGCCTGCCTAGCGTGGCAAGTATAAAATATCCCCCTGTGAAGGAGGCTTGTGTACTGCAGTGGATAGGCTGTAAAGAATGTAATAAAGGTACTACGGTATGGTCGTTTTGTGGAACGCTGAATATGTAGTAAATTTCGCTGATTGATTGCGTAACCGTAACCGTAACTGCCTATTTAAGTCCACTGTTGAATATAGGCCTCTCCCATAGATTGTCGCAAAGGGGAGATAACCCATAGTTGCCACGCTTGACGAGCGGGTTGGCAACCGCAGTTTTTTTATTTTTAGTCGGTATTAGGAAGACGCTGCAGCCCATACTTTGATTTGTTTCCCCCTGTCGCTTCTTACGACACCCACGGGTTGATATAGGCTAGTGGATATTCTTATAACGCCACTACAAGGGCGTAAGCAAGAGGTAAATTTGAACATCCGCAGCCATACTATATTATTTTAACATTAACCTCTTGACGTGTTCTTAACACTATTTTTACATATTGTACCAGCCTTTTCTTAGCACTAATGCAAATTAACCACGTTGTGTGAAATAACAAAATAGAATTATTAAAAGATATAACCTTGAAAAAGCGTAATATTAAGCAGAGCATTATTTTAGGACGATAGCGAAGAGGGAGCGGTAACGAGAACGGCAACGAGAGCGTCTCAGACTATATGGAGCTATTTTCGAAGATAGCGGGAATACGACGCCTTGAGCGAGACACGGGCAAGGACCAATTGTCGAGTGTTGCCATTCGGTCAAAGCGGTCGTAGTGTTGTTTGTTTTGTATTTTGTCGAAGGAACATGCATTATCCACACTATTCTTAAGAAATTCATTTATTTATTCATTAGTAACAGCTTTTCAAAAGCCTACTGCTGAACCTTCACAAAGATTACCTTATAAGGGAGATATTTACACTCTCTACTCCCGCACTCTCTCATAGTCCGATGGGACGATAATCCGATACGATTGGAAAGAGATCAGGCGTAGGAACAACAGCTTTACGTTCTTACCGGTACGGCGGTTATTTGTTGACACCGGGTTGCTACTGAGCATTTCTTTAAAAATCCAATTACTGATTGTTTAGGCCAAATAATTAATATTGTAAAAACTTGGATTCAAGACGCGTGTCTCGGCGTTTTCGCCCGATGGAATTTAAAGGTCACCTCCGGCCCGCTCTCTCGGGCGGTTCTCTCGGCCGAGCGCCAGTCGCTCGACGCGTGGGCGAAGTTAGTATTGTCTGCGACCGCTGGGTTGGTTCCGCGCGGCCGGTATTGATTTTGACGGTCTAAATTTTGAGTAAATTGTGCGCGTCTAATTTACTATCGAAGATTTGGGTCTCGTTAAGACCGCCTCGAATTGAGTTCTCTGTTTTGAGCGTTTGAAGTGATAAAGAGGCTTATCCTTGAGTTTTGAGTTATTAATTTAACTTAGATTAACATTAATTTGCGTTGACGAGTTGCTTTGTGGCATTTTAATATCGTGCGAAGGAATTTTGTTTTGTCGTGTGGAACGCTGAACTTTGTGACTCCAGAAGAGATCGCGTTTGTGCTCGATGATAATTTGTTGCCAAGTGAACATGGAACATTGAACTTTGACCGACAGTTCTTAAGTTGAGCAGTGTGTCACTTGTTTTGGGTTCGATTAACGCTGATTTAGTTAAATTTGAAGTTAATTAAATGTTCAATAAAGTTTATAAACTAATATAGTGAAAATAAAAGCAGAAGTTTTCAATTGGTGAACGCCCACTGGAGGGATCGCACATTTGGAGAAAAGCAGCGCCTGTGGATCTGCTGTCCGACTACATCGGTTAAGTCAGGTTACACTGACACACTACTACATTTAAACTTACATACCACCCACTTGCCCCTGACGGCGCCTTGTGGTCGACCCTACCTTCGGAACCCGGTAAGTTTGTGCTTGCTTATCAGCTAGAAGTTAATTATCCATAGGCCATTTGGGCCCGAACCCTCGGTTGCCCGTCGAAGGTGTTACTCATGGGCCCTAATACAGTCGACTTCTGTCTGGGCAACTGGGGGCCGTAACACCGATTATTAACCCGACATCGGATTCGAACTCGAGACCTCATGATCGGTAATCGCGTTAGTATTGTTGTATTAGAATCAAATAGTTTCAAATATTTTACATACATATGTAGTGCACCATACACATTCAAAAATTGTTTTTTTCTTTTAACTAAACACTCTGCTGCATTTAATACAAAGCATTGATTTTGTAAACTAAAATTATAATAAACCTGGGAGAAATGGGAGGCCTGTGCCCAGCAGTTGAAGATATATAGGCAGTAACTTTACATTTGACATAGGCACATATAATAAAATCTCTGTAAATAAATCTATACACAGCACAGACAAATACTGCTTATGATTTTCGTTTTTGTCTGCGCTTTTGTGCATGCTAATCACCACAATGGCTGACAATGTCCTACGCTAACCGATTGAAAATACCACAGAAAATAATACATTACTCTTTTGCTTAATACTTTAATGGTAAAAACGTTAAATATTGACATTAAATAAATAATATCACCATATTCATAACATAAAACTTTTCTTTATTTTATAGGAACAGTTTATTGACTCTATTGATCTTCCCCTAATGAAAAGTTGTGTATCCACATGATATGTTCAAAATTACTAAAACAAAATAATATTTTTTAGACTAAACTACTAAATGTATCTGATTGAATCTTGTGTAAGATATGTCAGACATATTATTTATTGTATCGAATATTATAGAATCCGATGCCCCGCATTGTAAAAATCGCCCGTGCCATACATACATATTATAATTTTACTTCACATAATTAATGCTTTACATTTATCCTATAAAAATACTGGTATCTTCTCTCACCGTTCAACTGAGTTTAAATATATCCATCCGTCATGCCCACCAACTGCATATATAGGAGAGTTTGGTCCATCTCCAAGCGACGCCACTCCTAAGCCATGACGATGGGTGTTCATAGGTGCCAATGTACTCCAACTTAGTGTAGTCAAATCAAAACATTCCACCTATAAAGAGTAAGTTTTATTGTATATGTTATTTCAAAGAAAAGAAAAAACTATATTATTTAATAATACATTCATTAACTTTACCGTGTTTAAAGTTTTTAGTCCATCTCTTCCACCCACAACTATGAGCTTGTTTTGCATCACGGCTACACCAAATTGCAGTCTTCTTGCTCCCATTCGCATAAATGGCGTCCAAGTATTGGTCCGCGGATCATACATTTCCATATTGCTCGCACCCTAATTAATTAGCATAATACTTTTATACACATGAAAATCTGTTGTGCATTAGGTATCATAATTTTTTATTAATCTTTAATAACATTTATACGCACTGGAGCAGCGCGGCGTGCAACTTGCTCCACAATCTTCTCAGAAATGGGAGGCCTGTGCCCAGCAGTTGAACATATATAGGCAGTAACTTTACATTTGACATAGGCACATATAATAAAATCTCTGTAAATAAATCTATACACAGCACAGACAAATACTGCTTATGATTTTCGTTTTTGTCTGCGCTTTTGTGCATGCTAATCACCACAATGGCTGACAATGTCCTACGCTAACCGATTGAAAATACCACAGAAAATAATACATTACTCTTTTGCTTACTACTTTAATGGTAAAAACGTTAAATATTGACATTAAATAAATAATATCACCATATTCATAACATAAAACTTTTCTTTATTTTATAGGAACAGTTTATTGACTGTATTGATCTTCCCCTAATGAAAAGTTGTGTATCCACATGATATGTTCAAAATTACTAAAACAAAATAATATTTTTTAGACTAAACTACTAAATGTATCTGATTGAATCTTGTGTAAGATATGTCAGACATATTATTTATTGTATCGAATATTATAGAATCCGATGCCCCGCATTGTAAAAATCGCCCGTGCCATACATTTTCACATGTATTATGTCAGCTTATTAATAATTAATACAACTTAATAAAGTTAGAGTTGAAACTGTCAAACTGAACATTACGTAGTGATCGTCTCCGCATTTTAATTAGTAACAATAGTACAAAAGTGACCGATCGGAAAAAAAGTGCACTAAAAATATCGAACAAACAGTATTGATAAATATAAACTAATAATCCTTTCGTGGGAAGTGCTAAATACAGTGAAATAACCATCGAAAGTTTGCAAAATTATTGAAGTTATTAAAAACCATAGACAAAAATTGGAAGTCCAACTACTGTCAAAACCCTCAAAAGTTGCCAGGTCAAGCCAAAACCTACCAATTTGGTAGAAAATCGGTACCAAGTATGGACGAACAAACAAAAATGCTGTTGGCCACTATAAAGGAAGAGATTGAAAAACAAAATGATAAACAAACCCAAACCATAACCGAGACTATCAGCAAAACTATTGAAGAGCAACTGTTACCAATAAAAAAGGAAAACGAAGCTATGAAGGCTGAGATTTTGCTACTAAGATCGAAAGTAAAATATCTGGAACTTGAAACGAGGAAAAATAATGTCTTACTGCACGGGGTTGAAGAAACTGAAAATAACAATCTAGAATTAATGAATACTGTAATAGAACTATTCAACGTTCCCTGCACAACAGAACAAGCGGAGAAAGAGAAACACGACTGGGATAAATGGGAACTAAGCAGCATATACAGAGTTGGGAAAAAGACAGAAGGTAAGATAAGACCTATAAAAATTTCATGTACCCTAACATGGAGAAGAAACGAAATCTTGGAAAAGAAGAAAAAATTCCCAGAAGGAGTCTACGTAACAGAAGATCTGTCTAAAGAGGAACTGGAAGAAAGAAAGGCTCTTATCCCAAAAATGAAGGAAGCCAGAGCATCTGGAAAGTATGCAATAATAAGGAATGGCAAACTAATAATACGAGACAAAATGGAACCTGAAAAGAGGAAGAGAGCCCAATCCACCCCACCTTCTACTCCCCCGGACAACTTCAGCAAAGCCCCTGGAGAACCCAAGTTATACCAACTTGCTAAAATGTCGAGAATCAACCCAGCAGAAAGAATGAGAAGCCAATCGAAAGCGAATATAGAGGAGACATCAAAAAACTAGAAATAGGCGGTAGTCGAAATGAAAACAGTAAAACAACGAATACCATCAAAACTAAATTAACATTCCCCAACCCGGCTGGTCCCCGTGGGGAATTAGACCACCACCCACCAATCTCAAAAAAACCAAACAAACATACACTTCTAAACAAACATACACTAGAAAACAACAACATTAACAACAAAGATAAATGTAATGCCCCCTTTAAAGAAAGTATCCAAATTGCAGCACTTAATGTTCTAACCCTAAAGTCGGACGAGAGTCTAACAGAACTAAGTAAAGCACTAAATGATATCAAATGGGACATTCTGGGTCTGAGTGAAGTAAGACGAGCTGGAGAAAACATACAAGAATACGAGGACTTCCTTCTATATCACATAGGCGAAAAAGAAGGCCAAAATGGGGTAGGATTTATTCTCAAAAAGCACATGATACAATATGTTGATGAGTTCATAGGAATTTCGGACCGTTTAGCAGTGCTAAATATAAAATTACCCAATTACGAAGATATGTGGTCTATTGTGCAAGTGTACTCTCCAACTGAACAAGCAGACAAAAAGACAATTGAAGAATTCTATGAGAATCTAAACAGTACTATAGAGAGACATACGCACAAAAACTTAATAGTGATGGGAGACTTCAACGGCCAGACAGGTGAAAGCTTGCCAGAAGAAAGACGTGTTCTCGGACCTTTTACATATGGAACTCGACGAAGCAAAAATGGAGAAAGACTCATTAATATGTCTTTCGAAAACAACCTCTATATTCTAAACAGCAAATTTAAAAAGAAAGGTTCAAGGAAATGGACATGGGTATCACCAGGAGGCAAATACAAAAATGAGATTGACTTTGTTCTCACCAACAAACCAATGTGTTTCACCGATTTAAATGTTGTGAACAAATTTAATTTCAACACGAACCATAGAATGGTCAGGGCAGATCTCACACTACGACATATAAAGACACAAAGACCCAGGAGGCACTTTGTTGGTAAGTTGAGTATTCAAAACCTAAAAGAAGCTGCAAATAAACTGACCGAAAGATTTGCAGACTTTGAGAAAGAAACCAAGAACCTAGATATTCAACAGAAATACGACTGGTTTGAGACTTCAATCAAACTAGCAAAAAGTACCTGCACTAATAAAGAAAAGAAGAAAAGCTATTTATCAATAAAAACAAAAAATCTACTCGAAGCAAGGAAACAAGTAATCAGTTCCAGAGACACAGAGAATCGTAGAAAACGCATATCAGAGCTGAGTAAAGATATAAAACAGAGTATGAGAAGGGATAGAAAACAAAACAGAAGAAAAAAAATAGAAGAGCAAATCATTAGAACAGGAGGAACAAAAAAAGCATATAAAGAACTGTCAGAATCAAAAGATTGGGTCACAAAAGTTAGAAATGAGAAAGGAATAGAACAAAATAGAAGATCAGACATAAAAGATATTGCTACATCATACTATAAACAATTATATGAGAACACACAAGAAGAACCTGGCGAAGTAATAGTACTAAACGATGATGAGGATGAGAGCATACCCTATATACTGCAACGAGAGGTAGAAGTAGCATTACAGTCCCAAAGTAAAGACAAAGCCCCAGGGCCAGATGGCATTGAAAATGAAATCCTATTAATGGCAAAAAATGTCCTGTTACCAGTTATCACGAAACTATTTAATGAAATTTTCGCAAACGAAGTTATCCCGATACAATGGACGCAATCTAATATAGTATTGTTATATAAAAAGGGTGATAAACTTAATATAGGTAATTATCGCCCGATCAGCCTTATGTCCAACTTATACAAAATATTTGCGAAAATACTGCTAAGAAGACTCGAAAGAAAATTAGACGACAACCAACCAAACGAGCAAGCAGGTTTTCGTAGAGGGTACTCAGTATTGGACCACATACATGTTATGAGGCAGATTATAGAAAAATCCCATGAATACAACCAATTATATTACATGGCATATATAGACTACAGCAAGGCTTTCGACTCTTTATTTCACAATAAGATATGGCAGGCCCTAAAAGAACAAGGTATAGAAAGCAAGTACATAAGGATACTGAGAGAGATATACAAGAAAAGTACAGCATGCATACAGTTAGAAAAGAAAGGAGAACCATTTAGCATACAAAAAGGGGTGCGACAGGGCGACCCGCTATCCCCAAAACTTTTTTCTGCGGCCCTTGAAATGATATTTAGAAGACTAAATTGGGATGGATATGGAATCAGTATCGATGGAACTTGGTTAACACATTTAAGATTCGCAGACGACATCGTTCTCTTTGCAAAAACCCCACATGAACTGAATGTCATGGCAAATGATCTGGCATTAGAAAGTCACACGGTGGGATTGAAAATGAACATGGAGAAAACGAAAGTAATGACCAACGGACCTAAGAATGAAAACATCAGGGTTGGCCAAAGTGAGATAGAATACGTTGATGAATACATCTATCTGGGCCAAATGATCTCACCCACAGACAACATGGAAAAAGAAATCAACAGGAGAGTAGCTAACGGATGGAAAAGATATTGGAGCATGAAGGAAATAGTGAAAGATAAAGAACTGCACATATCCATTAAATCCAAAGTATTCAACACATGCATTCTTCCTGTATTGATGTACGGATGTCAAACATGGGCTCCTACTAAATTAAACAGTAAGAAATTAAAAATATGCCAGCATTCGATGGAGCGAAGCATGATGGGAATCAGGAAAAAGGATCGAGTCAGGTTAGAAGACATTAGGAAAAACACAAAGGTTCGGGACATAGCAACAAAAGTCAGGAAATTAAAGTGGAAATGGGCTGGGCATATGAGTAGAGGGAAGGAAAAGTGGAGCAGGAAGGTCACAGAATGGTACCCCAGGAATGGCATAAGAAAGAGGGGGAGACCCCGCCAAAGATGGGAGGACGACCTGGTCAAATTCGCGGGTGTGACTTGGAACCGGGTTGCCAAGGATAGAAACGAGTGGAAAAGGTTGGAGGAGGCCTTTGCCGATTGGCAATCAGCAGAAGACAATGTAGATTTTATATGACTTAGATATTAAGAAATTGTATTACGTACTGTTGAATAAATGGCTTTATTATTATTATTATTATTATTACAACTTAATAAAAACTTACTTTATAACCATCCATGCCACCTATAGCTAAGAGACGGCCAATTGTTGATGTTCTTGGTCTTGTTCTATGAGAGAAAAGCAAAGAGCGCCTTTCAGGAAGAAGATGCCACTTTACAGCTTCCATTATTAATGATTGACATTCGGGTACATTGCCACAGGCAAGTTCCACTTTGTCAATTAAGTACTGAAAATGTTTAAAATAAAAAGAAATACATTAAGCAATAGTAACAGTATGATGAAAAACTTTCAATCAAAACTCATGTAGTAATATTGTAAATCTAGTATAATTTCAATGGGAATGAAACCTAATATTTATTAATTATAAGCTGTGCCCACCATTTATTACTCGTACATATATCATTTTCACATCCTTCTCAATATTATACAAATTAAATTATGTTTTGAGTTAATAAGTTCTTATTATTCATTAACAACATTCATACACACTGGTGTTTGCGGTGGACAAAATTGATCAGTAGTCCACTCAAAAAAAAAAGTAGGTATGTGCCCAGCAGTGGGTCTACAGTCTGTAGCTTTACCTTTGTTAACATGCTTTTAATAAAATCATCTTAAAGAAATAAATAATAAAGTGACAATGATAAGTTATCATCCTCAATTTATGATTGATAAATAATAAACTTCTGAATCAACATAGATGAAGATGTATGGTCAACTTAAAATATAGGCTGACATTTACAAAATTGGTGAAAAATTTTGTGTGTCAAAGATAATTGCCCTCTTTTATTATCTAGTTTTCATTGTTATTCAAAGAAATATTAACACAATTCTTGAGTTGTTAACATGTGACAGAACCACTTAGAGCTGACCACTCCCAGCATCTGGGCATTCACTTTTTTGATAGTCATAGCGTAACAGAAGTTTTTTTTTTTTATAGGATAAGGGTAACAAATGAGCACATAGTCCACCTGATGGTAAGTGGTTGCTGCGGCCCATAGACATCTACATCTATCCTCGTTTGCGAATCAAAATGCAGATGCGTTGTCACCCGTGAGGACTAAGATGGAATGCCTCATTTCCAGTAAAAAGGGCCTCCGGCCACCTGCACTCACCAAGCGAAACGCAGAGGTAAACCTTTACTTCACGCTGGTATTCTGTGAGGTCATGGTACCACCCCGGTTCGAGCCGGCCCATCCGTGCGACAGCAAAAGCTGCCGTGTGGCTCTACCACTGTTAAACGTGGAAGTTAACTAGAAGTGGTACTTTCAAATCATTTTATCTCAATACATCACTGTAAAATCACATACAAATCAGTTCAGGCATGTAGAGATTAGTATACACAAACAAACAAACAAATAAAAACCTTTTAACAATATTATTATAATATGATGTATACATTTGTTGCTGCTCTAAAATAAACAAAAATATTTTACCTCAGATGAAAGCAAAGGCAATTTAATAAGTTTCAATAAAGTAGGCAAATGTGGTTCTCTGCTGATATTATCATGTTGCACCCATGTCATTAGGCTCTCAAAGACATTTTCCTCTGAGACTACATTAAGATCATCTGATTTCAGCAAATTGGCCAATTGATCAACTTGTAGAGTTAAAAATTCTTGATGTTTAACAACCTAAAAATATTCAAAATTAATTATGTTGCTCCCATTAAATTTAAGAGCTTCAGGGCATCAGTGGCATTGCATTGTTTTACAATTATTGTTGGTGCTGATTTACCATATGATTTGGAGTAGAGAAAACAAAGTGTGAAAACTTACATAAATAACAAATACAATTAATTTTAAGGATTGGCAAAATAAAGCCTGAAGCATTACAAGAAACTGTTTCTCACTTTCTTCATTACTATTGCCTATTACTAGGCCTGTGCCTAGGCTGTCTTAGAAGGATATCTAATTAGGCTAAATATTATAGAACTAATATTAATTTTTACAATTATTTTTTACTTAATATGTTGTTGATAGGATTTTATGTCAATTAAATTAATGAACATGATTATTCTATATTTTGAAATATATATTGACCTGCATAAAATGTTGATATGTATACTCCAAAGCACTTTTATGTAAAGTCAGGCAGGATTGTTGTTCAGCAAATAAAGCAATTCCTAAACAATTACAAGGATCAAGTTGCTTCTTCAGAAAAGCACAGCAAGCTTTGGTGACAGAGTGTAGCTGGAGTAAGCTTGCAGTAGACAATAGCACCTCAACAGATTCTTCTCTTAGCTCTGCAAATGAAATGTAACAGGTGAAAGTACTTACAATAACAGATGAAATATGAAAAATGTATTGTGCTTATAGTATAAGTATAAAAAACTAAGTATTAACCTATTGTGCCTGTGTAGCAATAGTGCACAAGTGCTTGAAGTGCTTGTGAGTCAACCCTCTCAAGAGTTATTTCATTCAACTGGGCTTCTCGTAAAGAACCTGTGAACATTGCTGCAAAATACTCACTGGATGATGATAACACTACTTTGTGTGCTGGAATCCTGTCATAAAAATATAAATGTTCAGTGAATTAATTTATAAAATACTCCTCAATTAATGTTTTAAGTGATGTATTAAACAATCTATCTTTTTCTAAAGCTTTGTTGCATTGTTCTAGCACAAAAGAAAGCACACAAAGCACAAAGAGAAAGACGTGTAAACTTTAACATGACAAAGGGAACGAAGTAACTTGACTTACCTGCAGCCTCCTGCAATAAGTACTACATCGCAAAGTTTTTGCGACTGATAATACCCGTAGATATTTTTTAGCGCTGTTTCGGAATGTCCTTTATCACAGTAAAACTCTTCTTGGCTTGATGCACTAGATAGACTCAATTGGCTTAGCTCTCGAGGCAATCCTTCATCAATAGAAGTTGTAGATATATTGTCTTTAGCTGTATCAATTTTTTGAGTATCACAGGTCGACATTATTAAATGTAAATTGTTTGATATTTACTGGATAAACGTAAAGCAACAATGAATGAAAAATGAAAACAAAGAGATGTCAATCAACTTGTCACTTTTTTGTCAAGTTGTTTCTTTTTATTTAGTACTGAATTCGTACGGCTGTGTTTTGCCAGTGTCAAGAAGTAAGAAATTGTCTTTCATAATAATTTGTTTTAAGCCTTAGAGTATACATAAGCAAGCACAGACTAATATTATTATGTTTACGAAATGTAAGCAAGCTATAGAACGCGCTTTATACTCTATTCCAATTACGAAGTCCCTTTTGACACATCTTAGAACATAACTCTTCACGTTTCGCATAATTTGAAATAATAATAATTTTTGTTCATGGTCGTAAATCATCATTTAAAAATACACAATCAATATAAATCATTATACAATTAATTCACACACACAATCATCATATTGTTTTTAGACATCGTGCTCAAAATAATTAAAACTTTAAAAGATAATAATATTTTACTGCCGTTTTGCGTTTACGTTCTATAGTTTTATTTTTACTTTTTTACATAGTGACGTGACTAAAAGAATCGTATAAAATCGATTATAGACAGATTCTTTTAGCGAGTGAAAATCTGTCAACACTGCGTCCACCTCGTGATCACGACCGCCATTTTGTTTGTCTCTTCAGTACGAGTGCAGAAGCCTTTTATACGATACGCGTGTTCAGTTTAGTTGATTTTGTGTTGTGTTTTTATTTCGTTCTTGTTATTGTAGTTATAACTGTTTGATAATTCTTTCGTTGTTATTAAGTTTTGACTGTTATTTCATTTGGTTTTTCTTTGTATTTATAAACACTATGGCCGAAACTGAGACCACTAAAAGAACAGTGATGCGCAGTCAAGCGCGAGACTTTGTTGTACGCCTACAAGATTACTTTGAAAGAGAGTATCAGAATGGTGGTCCACTGTTGCCACTTTCACAAGTGACTAACCGAGTAAGTGCAGCTCTTGGTATTAGTCGAAAAACTGTTTCTCCAATATATAAGGAAAAAAATGGTAAAGATTTAATGGAAGATAACAAATTAAAATCACCACTTAAGAAAAAAGTTAGAAGATCCATAGTTACACATATCAACAATTTCGATAACGACGCTATTAGAAACCATATCTATGGCTACTATAGTAGGAACCAATTACCGACTCTCGATAAATTGTCAAATACCTACTTTACGAGAATCTGGACTGTTTCACGGCAGTAGAACTTCTTTCTGGAGGGTTTTAAAAAATGTTGGCTTTTCTTATAAAAAATGTGATAAAAGGCGGATTTTGATAGAACGTAGAGATATAGCTTTAGCCAGATTTAATTTTCTAAGATCAGCACAGTCCATTGCCGTTTGGAATAATGTTATATTTCTAGATGAGACGTGGCTAAACGCTAATCATACAGTTGGCAAGATATGGACAGACACTCCTCACTCCTCCACAAAAGTACCTAGTGGCAAAGGCGAATGCTTAATTATTTGTCATGCGGGTTCCATGAAGGGATTTGTTCCGAATTGCCTCTTGGCGTTTAAATCTAAGAAAACTGTGGAATATCACGAAGAGATGAATTTTGTTAAATTTAAGGAATGGTTTTGTACCTTATTGACCAACTTGAATGAGCCATCGACGATCAGTATGGATAATGCACCGTATCATTCAGTACAAATAAGTAAGTCTCCAACTTCTAGCAGCAAAAAAGCCGATATTGTGAAATGGCTGAAAGACAATAATATTGTTGCTGACATGTCCATGTTAAAAGTTGAGCTGCTGCATTTGGTTGCTATAAATAAGCCAGCTAGACAAAAACACGTATTGAACGAAATGGCTAAGGAAGCCGGACACAATGTAATGCGCCTTCCACCCTACCATTGTCAATACAATGCCATAGAATTGATTTGGACGCAAATTAAAGGCAAGAATTTAAACAAATCTTTTTTATAATTTATTTTTACCTATTTTAACATTTTATCTGTTGCTATATTAACACGCAAACATTTATTTTAGGTTATGCGGCTCATAAAAATACCAGCCCACCATTTACTGCAAACAAAATGATGTCATTGTTGCAAGAAGCTTGTGATAGTGTTACTGCCGCAAATTGGGAAAGTGTGGTTTTACGAACAAAAAATTTGATTTTCGCTGATTGGGACAGAGACATACATATCGATGCCGTCATAGATAACCAAATTATAATAAATAGAGGGGATTCTACAGACGATGATGAGGGTGATGACGACGATGCCGATCATGAAATATCGATTTCGGCTAGTGATGATGAATATGTTCCATCTTGATAAAAATATCATGTAATAATTAAAATTTGAAAAATAAATATAATTAAAAAACAGTTTTATAAATTTTAATTTGATGCTAATCCTTTTTCTGTCAATACGATTTTAATTTGTTCGTTATAGTAATCGAAGATCAATATCGTCAAGTATCGACTATAGAGGTACTTCACTAGTACTTGATTATTGACATCTGTCAAATGGAACTTCGTAATTGGAATAGAGTATAGTGAGTATGAACAGTAAGTACGGTTATGAACTCACCGCTAGGAGTAAAAGCATTCTGTGGTATGAACAGTCTCGAAATTGCAAGGGCAACCCTAAAAGTCACGAATGAACTGTGCGCTGAATGTTTCTCTTACCGGTATTTACTTGAATTTTAAGTTACAATGTAGAAATGCGCAGTGACAAGCTCTAAAAAAGATTAACGGACGCAAACTTGGAATAATCATGATATTTCTTTTAATCGGTAAGTAATATTTTGATAAGAAAACACTGACTTAAACAAAATTAATTAGGGTGTCAAAGGGTGTTGCGGGAGGCGCGTAGCTGGGTCAACACAGCACGTGCTCCTGCACCCCTAGTGCTTCATAATTTTGACTTGAATTTAACCCCGTCCAACTACAGGCCTATCGCCATTACCTCCTTGTTCTCCAAAATAATGGAATCCATTATAAACTGCCAGATCATGCCATACCTTGAGGATCACCAACTGATTAGTGACCGCTGTAATGTTTATAAAGGCCGGAGAGAACACAAAGAACGTAACGCAATCTATAACAGTTTATTCCCCTATCCCTCTGGCGCTCGCGTCGCACGTTACTATAACCGGCCGCTGGGGGTTGTAGTGAGCTAATACTTCCGCGCTGATTAACACATTTTTGACTTCAACAAACGCGCGCTCACATTCCTTCGACTAAAACCAATTTTGACCTTTTTTTAGTAATTGGTATAATGGTACGAGCCTACTACTCATGTTTTATTAAATTTTGCGTAGAAATTTACTAAACCCAAAAAAGACCGTAGCTCGGTTACGTTACAAGGCCTAGGTAGCTTAGCAATTGCTTCTATCTTTTTCGGGTCTGTTTTTACTTCGTCTTTACTAAGTACATACCCTAAAAACTGCACTACACTAAAAACTGTTTACAAAAAATATACATTTATGATTTTTTAATTTCAATCCGTTCTTATGTAACCTGCTAAAGACAGCTTCTACGGCTCGAAGGTGGTCGAACTTATTTTTCCCGCCGATTATAACGTCGTCTAAAAATACTTCGACATTGGGGATGTCCTTTAAGAAATTATACATAATACGTTGAAATATTCCAGCACTCGATGCTAGCCCGTACACTAACCTATTATACTGAAATAAGCCGCAGTGTGTATTAACTACGGTCAACTTTTTAGTATCGTCTAGCTCTATCTGATTATAGGCTTGAGACAGATCAATTTTTAAAAAATATTTCGACCCACTCAACCTAATAATTAAATCCTCAACTCTAGGTATGGGATATCGATCAACTAACAAAACAGGGTTTATCGTCGCCTTATAGTCAGAACAAATTCTCAACGAATTGTCAAGGCAATCGGCTGGTGATCCTCAAGGTACCGCATTAGGTGGCAGTTTATAACGGATTCCATTATTTTGGAGAACAAGGGGGTGATGGCGATAGGCCTGTAGTTGGACGGGTCTGAGCGGTCGCCTTTTTTAAGGATCAGGTGGACAAAAGCTGTCTTCCATGATTTCGGGACTACACCTAGGGAGTAGGAGTACCGGAAAAGACGCGTTAGAACCGGTGCCAACTCCGGAGCACACGTCCTCAGCACAATTGGGGGGATTCCATCAGGCCCACTCGACTTGTGAATGTCCAGGGAGAGGAGTGCTCTGCGAACCGAGCGCTGTGAGAACCGCACATCCAGCATGGAGCACTCACACCGCGGGATGGTCGGCGATGTGTTTCCCCCCTCATCAACTGTCGAGTTGGACGCAAAAAGGGAGCCTAAAAGGTCGGCTTTCTCTTTTGCGTCGTGGGCCAGTGAGTCGTCCTCCCTGTGCAGAGATGGTAGTGATGGCTTACAGAAATTCCCTTGGACAGCCTTGGCGAGAGACCAGAATGCACGGGTTCCCGAAGGAAGGCGAACTAGTTTCTCGCCAATTCTGCCTATGTGCTCTGACTTTGCCTTGGCAATAACTCTTTTGAAGGACCTGGAGGCGAAGTTATACTTCTTTTTAAATATGCTGGTGTTTACATCCCGAGTCGCCGAAGTCGCAGCCCAGGCTTGATAACACTCCTGCTTACTGCGTAAAGCAGTCTTACAGGAGCGACCAAACCAAGGCTGAGATCTGCCTCCGATGGGTACCACAGATGATGGAGTAAATAGTTCCATTCCCTGTAGCACCACATCAGTGACAGAGTCAGCAACAGCGCTGGGATCATCCGGCGGGAAGCAAACCCGCCCCCATGGGTAGGAAGCAATGGAAGACCGCATTCCGTCCCAATCCGCCGACTTGTAATATCAAACACGGCGGCAACCTGCAGAACGCAACCGTGAACCGGAGCGTGAGTGGCACCACACTCCGGATCACACAATGGTCCGAAGAGCCGAGAGGGGCATCGACGGAAACCTGATATCCGTCCGGATGAGAGGTATAATAGGTAAATAAAGGTAAAAACGGTTAAGATATTTT